GGCGGGCGCGATATCATGGCGACGCCGACAACGGTAGACACGTTGGTGAGAGTAGCAAGGACGGTGACGACGGTGGCGGTGACGACGGCAAGGCCAATGACGGCGCCGATGTTGGTCACGCCCGCCGATCACGATGACAGATGATGACGATGTCGTCGCGTCGGTGATGAAGGTTTTGGAAGGACTTCGACATTCGCGCGTGGCCGACGCGCGCGAGTGGCCCGCGTGTTGACACGGGTCGTGCTTCCAGGCGCCCGAATGAGTTCGACATGCGGCGCGAGGGTCCGTTTGGCCGAAGTCAATGACAGCGCTGAAAGATCTATAGGTTTCTGAAAAAATCGCAAGAACGCGCATTCAATTTCTTGACAAATTCGCCGGCCCAACGGGCCAAGGGCGTGCTAAGATCTCCGGTAACTTGTTAACTATATTCTAGTTCGCGCGCGCGGGGCCGCCCCTGGGGGTCCCCGGACGAAAAGCACCCCAGGACACCCCCGGGACACCCCGGGGACACCCCTGGGACACCCCCGGGACACCCCCAGGACACTCGGATCAGAGATGCCAGACCAGGCAATTTTTCGACACCCCTCACAAGGATCGTGGCCTCCGAGGGGAGGGGCGCAATCGACTAAACCCCCTCCTGACCCAAGAGGTCCCCAAGACTGCCCAAGAGGCCCCCGAGACGCCCAAAGAGCGCTCCAAGTAGCCGAAGATGACCCCAAGACGGCCCAAGAGGCCTCCAAGTGGCCTCCAAGAGGCCTCATAAGAGGGCCCGAGAGGCCAAAATCATAAATTCTAAATGGTTTTGGAAAGATTTTGACCTTGTCGCCCTTTCGGCCATCCGATGCTCCAAGACGGCCCAAGAGTCCCCCAAGAGCGCCCCAAGACGGGCCAAGAGGCTTCCAAGAGGGCCCCAAGAGGGCCCAAGAGGGCCCCGAGACGGCCCAAGAGGCGCCCAAGACGGCCCAAGACGGCCCCAAGACGGACCCAAGAGGGGGACCACGAACCGAAAACTCGAGCCTTCCGCCCCAAGAGGGCCCCAGGAGGCCCCGAGAGGCCCCCAAGAGGCCCCCAAGAGGCCCCAAGATGCCGCCAAGAGGCCCCCAAGAGGCCCCAGGAGGCCCCCAGGAGGCCCAAAAGAGGCCCCAAGAGGCCCCAGAAGTTCAAAAATGCCTCCCAGGCGCCCCTGAACGGCTTCTTAAAAGACCCCAAGAGGCCTCCCAAAGAAGCATCTTGACGACGACCCTGTTTGGCCCCAAGAGCAACACAAGATGCCAACGAGAGGCTTCCTCCTCCGCCCCTTCCCCTTCTTCCGTCTCCTCCTCCTCCTCCTCCTTCTCCTCCTCCTTCTCCTCCTCCTCCTTCTCCTCCTCCTCCTCCTCCTACTTATCTTCATCCTCCTCTCCTTCTCATCCTCTCCTCCTCCTCCCCTCCCCTTCCCCATCCTCATCTTCCTCCTCCTCGGCGGCGCCACAATGGCCCCGGGCCCACGGCGAAGCAGTAACGATCATGCAACATGGGCCAGCGGAATGAGCGAAGCGATTGAATGATGTTGTAAAGCCATGAATTGAAATTATCCCGGCAAAGCAACCTAACAGCGATGTGTAGGAGCATATCTGGAAGCATTCCCCTTAAGATTCAGATAAGAATCCTGTTGTAGAATTCTGCTGTTCTCGCAGTCGTCGAATGCGATGGCAGTCGCAGTGGCAACAGCAGTCGCAGTCACAGCCTCAGCCTCAGCCTGCCTCAGCCTCAGCCTCAGCCTGCCTCAGCCTCAGCCTGCCTCAGCCTCGCCCTCAGCCTGCTTCAGCCTCAACATCAGTCTGCCTTCAGCCTCGGCCTCAGCCTGCCTGCCTCACCCTCAGCCTGCATCAGCCTCAGCCTCAGCCTCAGCCTGCTTCAGCCTCAACATCAGTCTGCCTTCAGCCTCGGCCTCAGCCTGCCTCAGCCTCACCCTGCATCAGCCTCAGCCTCAGCCTGCCTCAGCATCAGCCTGCCTCAGCCTCAGCCTCAGCCTGCCTCAGCCTCAGCCTGCTTCAGCCTCAGCCTCAGTCTGCCGTCGGCCTCGGCCTCAGCCTCAGCCTGCCTCAGCCTCAGCCTCAGCCTCAGCCTGCCTCAGCATCAGCCTGCCTCAGCCTCAGCCTCAGCCTGCCTCAGCCTCAGCCTCAGCCTGCTTCAGCCTCAGCCTCAGTCTGCCTCAGCCTCGGCCTCAGCCTCAGCCTGCCTCAGCCTCAGCCTGCCTCAGCCTCAGCCTCAGCCTGCCTCAGCCTCAGCCTGCCTCAGCCTCAGCCTCAGCCTGCCTCAGCCTCAGCCTCAGCCTGCTTCAGCCTCAGCCTCAGTCTGCCTTCAGCCTCGGCCTCAGCCTCAGCCTGCCAGCCTCAGCCTGCATCAGCCTCAGCCTCAGCCTCAGCCTGCCTCAGCCTCAGCCTGCCTCAGCCTCAGCCTCAGCCTGCCTCAGCCTCAGCCTCAGCCTGCCTCAGCCTCAGCCTCAGCCTGCTTCAGCCTCAGCCTCAGTCTGCCTTCAGCCTCGGCCTCAGCCTCAGCCTGCCTCAGCCTCAGCCTGCATCAGCCTCAGCCTCAGCCTCAGCCTGCCTCAGCATCAGCCTGCCTCAGCCTCAGCCTCAGCCTGCCTCAGCCTCAGCCTCAGCCTGCTTCAGCCTCAGCCTCAGTCTGCCTTCAGCCTCGGCCTCAGCCTCAGCCTGCCTCAGCCTCAGCCTGCATCAGCCTCAGCCTCAGCCTCAGCCTGCCTCAGCATCAGCCTGCCTCAGCCTCAGCCTCAGCCTGCCTCAGCCTCAGCCTCAGCCTGCTTCAGCCTCAGCCTCAGTCTGCCTTCAGCCTTGGCCTCAGCCTCAGCCTGCCTCAGCCTCAGCCTGCATCAGCCTCAGCCTCAGCCTCAGCCTGCCTCAGCATCAGCCTGCCTCAGCCTCAGCCTCAGCCTGCCTCAGCCTCAGCCTCAGCCTGCTTCAGCCTCAGCCTCAGTCTGCCCTCAGCCTCCTCAGCCTCAGCCTGCCTCAGCCTCAGCCTGCATCAGCCTCAGCCTCAGCCTCAGCCTGCCTCAGCATCAGCCTGCCTCAGCCTCAGCCTCAGCCTGCCTCAGCCTCAGCCTCAGCCTGCTTCAGCCTCAGCCTCAGTCTGCCTTCAGCCTCGTCCTCAGCTTCAGTCTGCCTTCAGCCTCAGCCTGCCTCAGCCTCAGCATCAGCCTGCCTCAGCATTCAAAGTGTGGCCCGGGAATGGAGTTCTGGGAACTCGAAGAACACGAAATGGCCTACAGTTGGCTCCGGGCATTCAAAATCATGCCCAGGAATGGAGTTCTGGGAACTCGAAGACCACGAAGTGGCCTACAGTTGGCTCCGGGCATTCAAATTCATCATGGGAATGGAGTTCTGGGAACTCGAAGACCACGAAGTGGCCTACAGTTGGCTCCGGGCATTCAAAATGTGGCCCGGGAATGGAGTTCTGGGAAGTCGAAGAGCACGAAGTGGCCTACAGTTGGCTCCGGGTTGGCTCCGGGCATTCAGAATGTGGCCCGGGAATGGAGTTCTGGGAGGTCGAAGAGCACGAAGTGTGTGACTGCATGCGAAAAACGATCCCCCCCGGCAAACCCCAACGGCCCCCCAACGGCTCCCCAACGGCTGCCCAGACCCCCCTGTGGAGTAATGTGCTGCTCTCTTTTTATACCACTAGAAACCTATCAGTCTTCGCTGTTAGGTAAAATATGTGTTCAAAACACCCGTTTTGTTTCGTTTTACCCGTACGGAATCTACGGTGCTTGAGAGATTCGGCATGCGCGCGCGACGACGCGCGCGTGCACTTCGTCTCATGTTGCAAAGGTTTCTTGCGACAGCACGCGCGCACGGGCGTTCGAACGATTTCGACATGCACGCGCTGAAGGCCAACCTGGTAGCATTCTATGAAACATAAACATGTGGTTGTATTAGTCGGCAAGAGGGCGAGCGCAAACTTTTTTGAAAATCCGTGTTGCGATACCTAGTGTTTTTCGTTTTCATGTGTTTTCGTGGCGCTCGATTGTGACATCGCTACGAAACCTAAGGTTGTTTGAAAGATTTCGGCATACGCGCGCGAAGACGCGCGCGTGTGCCTTTCGTCCCGCTTTTGCAAGGGACTCTTGAAAACCGGTGATCTGTGATAAACGAGTGCGCGCGCCTCCTATTTTCTGCTGAGGACGAGGGTGGAAGCGCTACCAGCCTGCCCGGGACGGCAAGAATTCGTATTTAGGATGGACGATGGGGCAGAACCTTACGTACATTGCCATACGAGTAAGGGAGCGGTCAAAGTCCGGGGGAGGAGGTCCGAGGCAGGGACGAGGCGTCGACGGGGCGGCGACGCCGGCCACGTAGCCGCCGGACCTAAGACACTGCCCAGACGACGGGCGGCGACGAGGCGTCGACGGGGCGGCGACGGCGAGTACATAGCCGCCAGACTGGCGACACGGTCTAGTTCCGTGGAGCAGAAGCAAGAAGCCCCAAGTGCAAGCACTGTTTGGGGAAACTGGTGTACGATTCGCAGCGTGCTGCCAGCACGGCCATGTGTGAGGCCTCGGAAGCAAACGGCTGCGGAGGTGGGGAACCTCTGCTGCAATCCCGCCCATTCCGCTCTCCTGCAATCACGACTGGCTACTCGAGGCTCACGCACTGCCGGCCCCTCACGTCCTTCGCTTCCCCTGTCCTCCTGAATCTGGCCGTGCGCGCGTCCGCACGCAGGGCTCGTCCTCCCGCGCGCCCAGCTTCAGCTCGCCCGCTCGTCGGCTACTGAGCATCTGCTGGCATTCGTCCCCCCAGTCGGGCGCTGCTGGCTGCCTCGCCCACCTCCCCTTACAGTCCTCCTCTTCACCCTCCTCCTGATGCTGTGCCTCGCTCTCGCCTCTCCTTGTCTCCTCCTCTTCCTCCTCCTCTGCATCATCTCGCCTCTCCTCATCCTCCTCCCCCTCATCTTCCCCATCATTAGTTTCGTCCTCAATGGGCCCCCCGAGCCCCAGAGACAAAGGTAGACAATTCTCGATCATCGTCTGCTGGGGAGTGGTGGAATGGCGTGAGCTTCCAGGATCCCAGAAGCGTATGCCCGCAGGCTCGTCGTCGCTGGCGTGCACTTTCACCATCTGGTCGCCATCGACCTCGCCGACAATGCTGGCAGCGTGAAACATAAAGTTGCGAGTACTACGCAAGGGCGACACAACATCATCCGAACTGTCAGCATCCTGTTTGAAGGCGTTGTAGTTGATGCCCCGGCGCTCGTTGACAATCTGCACCATGTCCCTCTGCTTCTTGAAAACAACATATGCTTCACCACTGCTTTTGAGCCCTGCGCCTTCTTGCTTCGTCATCATGTCTATCAAAAACTCCTTATCCTTCTCCATCGCTTTCTTCAACTTGTCCGTGCCTGTGGAGAGCTCCTCGGGGACCCAATCGTTGTCTAGATCGTCGGCCTCAACGATGTGCTCGATCATGTCCTCGATGCGCTCGATGTCCTCTGGGGGGAGAGCCAAGAGGTTGTAGATTATGCACACGCCGTGTATGTTGTTCTCCATCCGCAGCTCCTTTTCCAGCATTCTCTTCAGTGCTTTCTCGGACGTAAGATCCTCGGGCAGACCAGATAGCCTTAGTGTGTAGTCCTCCGAAGACAAAGTAGTTTTGTCATATTTCCGGATGAACCGCCTTTGCCTATAGTGGAAGAGCCAACTCAACAGAAGCGCCACAACCCAAGCAGATGCGCATAAGTAGACATGGTCGCTCGCATACTGCATGCGCGTGTCGAGTACCTTTTTGGGACCTTGAAGCACCGCAGATTGGTTGTAGAGCGTTTGAGAGCACTGCTGTTCGAATTCCAACGACAACTCTTCGAAGGTGATGTAATCATGCCACACGCGATTCCAACAGAAGGAGCCCATGACGAACACACATGATATCACGAAGAGAAACTCCTGCGTCCGGAAGAATAACTGTAGCCCAAGGCCTGCGTCTGTCATTGAATCACATCTGGTCCAGAGCTCAAGAGACCTCTCAGTAAACCTCCTCTTCATGCTCCCCTTCACGTTCCTCACCTGTCCCCAGTTTCGACTGCGCATCTGCGAGAACCTCATCGAAGAAACTAGGCTGAAGTTTAAGCCAGCGTGGATCGCACGAATGTTCAGCATCTTGTGGTCCTGACAACGTTGATCCTGACTACACTGAGTGTCTTGAGTTGGCAGCAGAGGAGACTCGAGCTCACTGGGCTTCTCAGTGTCCCTGGAATTCGAAAGTGTCTTGGCCCAAGCGGGATGTCCAGGAACATGACCGTGGAAATGCCAAGACATTGTGATGGCCCCGAAGCAGGTGCAGATGAGCGTCATGACCCCAAGCACCGCAAGAAGACATGTCATGACCGAGAAGGATGTGTAAATGCCATTCTGGTCCCACAGAACACAGCTCTTCTGGTCCTCTGCAAGGACAAAGTCGTCGAAGCATGCGGCGCAAGATGCGACGCTGTTGTTGTCGAACTTGCAAGACGCGCAGCCTGAAATATCACAGGATACGCACCGCGTGGAATCCACGTATGGATTCACGGTCACAGTCTTCATGTTGTACTGAAGGCAATCATCCGAGGTGCGTATGCAGTTCACGAGGCAAGGAAAGCCCGGGAACGGCACAGTGTAGGGGCATCGGCCCTCGGTGACCTCGGAGCACGTGGTCTGCTGCCCCATGCTGGGGGCCATCGGCAGGTAGGCGGACCCCTGCGCCACCAGTGGCACCCAGGAGCAGCCAGGGTCCTGACTCCCAGACACACTATTTGCTCCGGCGGGGCTCCGGAACGGGGTCCCTATAGGATCCCTATGGAACCTATAGGATCCCTACAGGGCCCCTATAGAAACCCTGCAGGGCCTATAGGATCCCTATAGGGCCCCAAAGGAAACCCTGCAGGGCCTATAGGATCCCTATAGCATCCTTACAAGCCAAAATAGCGCAAACAACCGGGGAATAGACAATCTCAACCGGTCAATAAAGCAAAACACTGGGGAATTCCGCCCCCCCCAAGGATTCGCGTTTCTCTGCGCTCCTGTCTGAGATCCGATACAGATCCCATACTGCCTGTATAGGATAAATTGCAGATCCCATACAGACTGTATGGGATCCCACACCAATCCCATACGGCCTGTATGAGATCTCACACAGATCCCATACAGCCGATATGGGATCTGATACAGATCCCATACGGCCTGTACGACATCCCACAGATCCCATACGGCCTGTATGGGAGCCCCCACAGATCCCGTGCGCCCTGTATGAGATCCGATACAGGTCCCGTGCGCGCTGTATGGGATCCCACACAGATCCCATACGGCCTGTACGACATCCCGAACAAACCCCATACGGCATGTATGGGATCCCACACACAGATCCCATACGCCGTGTATGGGATGCCACACAGATCCCATACGGCCTGTATGGGATCCCACACCGATACCGTACGTCCTGTCTGGGATCCGATGCAGATCCCGTACGGCTGTACGACATCCCACACAGATCCCATACGGTCTGTATGAGATCCCGCACAAATCCACAGATCTCACACGGCCTGCATTGGAACCGGTACAGATCCCATGCGCCCGATATGGGATCCCACACAGATTCTACACGGCCTGTAGGAGATCCCAATACAGACCCAATACGGCCTGTATGGGATCCCACACAGATCCCAAACGACCTGTATGGGATGCCCCACATATCCAATACGGCCTGTATGTGATCCCACACAGATCCCCTACGGCCTAAGAATTATCCAAAAAAATACCCAATACGGCCTGTATGGAATTCCAGACAAATCCCATACGGCTTGTATGGGATCCGATACAGATCCCATACGGCCTGTATTGGATCCCGCACAGATTCCGTACGGCCTGTATGGGGTCCCACAAAGATCCCATACGGCCTGTATTGGATCCCACTCAAACCCCATACGGCCTATAAGGGATCTCGCACGACGGTTTGCATGGGATCCCACACAAATCCCGTACGGCCTAAAAGGGATCCGATACAGACCCAATAAGGCCTGTATGGGATCCCACACAGAGCCCATACAGCCTGTCTGGGATATGATACAGATCCCATACGGCCTGTACGAGATCCCACACAGATCCCATGAAGCCTGTATGGGACCCAATATAATACGCATACGGCCTGTATGGGATCCGATACAGGTCCCATGCGCCATGTATGGGATCCCATACAGATCCCGTACGGCCTGTATGAGATCCCGCACAGATCCTATACGGCCTGTATGGGATCCGATACAAATCCCATACGGCGCGTATGGGACCCAACACAGGTCCCGTACGGCTTGTACGGGGCCCGATACAGATCCCATACGATTGCGCGATGGTGGGCCTGCGGACGGACCGTGGAGACCGAAAAAGACAAGCAGCGCAACGCTCTCTGACCTACAGGGTCGCGTTTTCGTTCAACACGTGGGCGCCAAAGAGGAACGGCTCTTACGCGAGAAGACGTGTCGACCTCGCGCGGTGGCTTGCGCAGGTCGCTAGCACGGCACGCTGCGTTGGATACGAGGGCGCGCACGCGCGAGCTTACGCGGGCAGCCGACGCGCCAACGCCAGCACAGTCGAACGCGCGTTTCTGCGTCGCCCACGTGGCTGCCCCAGAGCCGTCGGCCCCATCTGGCGTGCGATCTGGCGCGGTGCAGGCCTCTGGAGGCCCAACCTCGACCGACGTCGCAGAAGACGCCACAGCATTGAAACCAATACATAACCGAAACCACTGACCCCGTCTTGGTGCGGGATTTCTCGAGCCAGCTCAATCCGTGAGGAGTCTCTCCCTCGGACCACCAAATTTTTGCTGAGGATGTCTCTGCTCCCCTTCCCCTCAGCCGGAACCAGCGTCTACCACAGCAGCACCCCGCTCAGCAAGCCCTTTGAGAAAAAAGCAGCCGTCACTGCTCTTCTCTGCGCCACTCGGATCGGAGGGCTCGCCCGAGGTCCCTGCGGGCCTGGGCGCTCTCGCGGCCCGCCGCCGCGCCGGCCAGCACCGCCAGCAGCAGGGCGCCGCCCGGTGCCCGCGGCGAGACGGGCATGGCACCCCCGCGCGCGCCGCGGCGGCGGCAGGCTGGGGCCAACGTGCGCGAGGCCTCAGGCCCTGAACCCGGACCTGCGCGCCCCGCTGTGCGCAGCGGCGTGCGCGCGGCTCGTCTCCGGCCCGGGCTGCGACACCGGTTCTTCGCGCCCAGCTGGAGCCCCCCGTTTGCCCCCTGGGCCTCGCGAGGGGTGCTCTGCAGGCCACGAAGGCTGTGGAGTACCTGGGTATTGTGTTGGACACGGAGGGAGTTGAGCATGAAGACTTTATCAAAGTCGGCTTGGGGAAGGCCTGTTGAGTGTCGGGTGGTTTGTTGTACACAAATGCAGTCAAGTACCTGGGTGTTGTCTTGGAGACGGGGGAGGGGGGGGGGTACAACGACTTTTTCGAGTTTGGCTCACCTGTGCCTTGCCGGACAGGCAGGGCCCACCTTTGGCAACACCCAGGGACGTGCACGAGGCAAGAAGCCTTGATCTGCACCACCTGCGCGACGATCAAGAACGGGTCTTACGCGAGATGGCGTGGCGACCTTGCGCGCTGGCCTACGCGGGCCGCCCGCGCGGTACGCTACCCTTTGGAGAAGCAGGCGCTCACGCGCGACCTTACGCGGGGAGCTTAGGCGCCATTGTCGGCGCCGACGACCCTTTTTTCCCAACCATCCTGTGGTGTTGGGTCCTCGTTTTGAAGAAACGGTCCCCGCGTTCTCTTCTTCTCCTCGTGCCCCCCCTCCCTCCTCCTACCGTCCGCATGCGTCCCGCACACCCAGTACAGCGTTTCGTGGCCCCACAGGGAGCCCCACCGAAGGTCCCAGTGCAACCGTCCGCATGCGTCCCGCACACCCAGTACAGCGTTTCGTGGCCCTCCTCCCCCTCCTCCCTGCGTTTCACCCACCCAGTACAGCGTTTCGTAGCCCCATAGGGAGCCCCACCGAAGGTCCCAGTGCTACCGTCCGCATGCGTCCCGCACACCCAGTACAGCGCTTCGTGGCCCCATAGGGAGCCCCACCGAAGGTCCCAGTGCTACCGTCCGCATGCGTCCCGCACACCCAGTACAGCGCTTCGTGGCCCATAGGGAGCCCCACCGAAGGTCCCAGTGCTACCGTCCGCATGCGCCCCGCAGTACAGCGTTTCGTGGCCCTCCTCCCCCTCCTCCCTGCGTTTCACCCACCCAGTACAGCGCTTCGTGGCCCCATAGGGAGCCCCACCGAAGGTCCCAGTGCTACCGTCCGCATGCGTCCAGCACACCCAGTACAGCGTTTCGTGGCCCCACAGGGAGCCCCACCGAAGGTCCCAGTGCTACCGTCCGCATGCGTCCCGCACACCCAGTACATCGCTTCGTGGCCCCATAGGGAGCCCCACCGAAGGTCCCACCACCCACACAGTACAGCGGCCCCCCCCGCCCAGTGCAGCGCTTCGTGGCCCCATAGGGAGCTTCACCGAAGCAGATATTCACAATCACGGTACCCACAACTGCATATGGTTGGGACCTTCGCCAGGATCATGCTGTGCGTCGCTCGCCTGGACCTGCGCCCCGCGGCGTCGCTCCACGCCCGCGCGCACGCCGCTCCCCTGGAGAAGGGCGGCCCCCCGGCCCAGGCCGCGATCGGCCGTGGCGAGCGGGCGGGCGTCGGGAGCAGATTTAGGTCGGGCCTGCCCCCATACAGGGGGATCTTGGACGAAAAATTAAAAGTAGTCAAAAAATAGTCAAACAAAAATTCAAGAAGGGACAAAGAATCGTCCCTGGACTATTGATGTACTATTTTTGAATGTTCCTCCTGTAGAGGGACAGGCTCGACTTAAGAGCAGATCAAATCGGACATGGCCTCCCCCAGTCGAGGACCAATCCAGCTCGAGACGTCCTGCGGGCGGGAAGGTTTGCTTGCCGTGTCACGGCGGCAGCACCAGCGACGCGCTGTGCCTTTTCGACCTTGCTCCGCGGGGCGGGAGGCTGGGAGAGGCTCGGGACGTTGACGATTGGGGATCAGGACGTGGTTAGCGTATCGCGACGAAGCGTGGTGGGCCAGAACCAGCGGCGCGACACGCTGAGCAAAAGTTCCCGACCGCAAGCCCTCAAAAGATGGGGTCAGCAGCTCTGGCAGGAGAGCCTAGAATCGAATGGATACGTCGGATCGGCGATCGAAATGAACCAGATCGGCGGAAATCGGCAGCCAAGTCGGGAGAAGTCGAATCGGCAGAAATCGGCAGGCCAGTAGGCCTCCATTGAGGAATCGGCATCCGAATCGGAATCCGAAGTCGGACCGAAATCGGAATCGAAGGACACCGAAATCGAATCGAACCGGATCTGATGAATCGAAATGAGCCCTGCTCTGGTCGTGACTTTTTCGGCACTGTGCTTTTTCGCAGCGGCGGATCTCATGGGAGGCCTCTTTCGGACGGCCCAGAACCGTGTGAGCAACCGGGCGCCGCGGCGCGGCAGCGGGACGCTGCGGCGAAGCCGAGACGCCAGGGGGCTCGCTGTTAGCTCGTGGTGTTCAGAAGCCAAGCGAAGGCTGGCAAACCCGTGGCTGCCAAAACGGAGCTACGGGAGAGTAATTTCCGGGAAGCAGCCCCTTTATGATTTGGTGCGCTGGGTCTTGTTCCAGGAATGTATCTTTTCTTCCGGGAGGATGGTGTTAGCAGCCACGGATTTGCCAGCCCTCGCCAAGCTTCCGAAGTGTGTTGGTCTGTCCTCCCCCCCGCGACCTACGACAAAATCACAACGGATGCCTCCTCCCAGCTCGCAATACGAGAAGTGGCGATCTCGAACCTGCAGTGCGTGACAGCGCTTGCTGGTGCGCCTCTGCTCGCTCTGTGACCTCTTCAGCGGCGGTTCCTCTTCCCCCCTCCTCGCCATCATACCTCCTCCTCCTCCTTCTCCATCTCCTCCTCCTCCCCGTCCTCCTCCATTCCTGTTCTTTATAAATAATTTCTCCCTGTCGCACCCCGAGGCCAGTTTTTAGGGCGGGCCTGGCGTTTCGCCTGTGACTTCCTCACCATGTACGACACTGAAGCTAAACAAGTGACAACGGATTCACAGATGGAGGGCGGGTCGTTTTCAAAATGTGGCTCTCGCCTTTGCGCCGCGCATATTCGTTTTAAACATGTGCAAGAGCTTCACGGATTGAGGGCGGGTCGCCTTCAAAATGTGGCTCTCGCCTTTGCGCCGCGCACATCCGTTTTGAACATTTGCAAGAGTTTCAAGGATTGAGGGCGGGTCGTGTTCAAAATGTGGATCTCGCCTTAGCGCCGCGCACATTCGTTCTAAACATTTGCAAGACTTTACGGGTTGAGAGCGGGTCGTTTTCAAAACGTGGCTCTCGCCTGAGCGTTGCGCACATTCGTGTGGAAAAACGGTAAGAGTTTCACGGATTGGAGGAGGTTCATTTTCAAAATGTGACTCTCGCTTTAGCGAAGCGAACATTCGTACTGCAAACGTTTCACGGATTCCCATGGTCAGCGCACCAGAAATGGTGTGTTGGCAGGATTCTGGATTATGAGGGCGCAACAATTACGTTGATGCGCGGTGTTGGAGTACCAGGACTGGCGTTCTGGCACGATTCAGGGTCGTCAAGTCGCAACAGTCAGGTTGATCCGTGGCGTTGGAATCCCGAGAACAATGTTTTGGCATGCTTCAGAGTCTTCAAACGGTTGTCTTCCAACGAGGCAGTTCCTTGTCGAAATGAACCGTTGTAGGGGCCGATGAAGAGGGAGCTTGGAGGGAGGGTTTACTCCAACATCGTTGATGACTCTTGGCTTTACCCTGGTCCTCCTCCTGCGCCTCGGGCCAATCATTTCGCATGAGACTTCCTCACGGGAGAGTAGTTTTCAACATGTGGTTATCGCCTGAGCTCCGCGCACAATCGCCTGACAAGTTTTCAACAACGCATGTGTGTAGGGCAGGTGGTTTCGAAATCTGGACCTCCCCTTCCTGTCGCACACAGGCGTACTGAACAAATTCAATGCTTAAATGATGGATGATGCTAGATGTGCCAAATGAGATTCTCGCCTGGCGCGTCATCAATCATATACCGCATCCTGAAGGAGGCTCGAATTTTCTCGTACGGCCCCCGCTCCCGCTCCTCCTACTCCTCTCCATCAGTGTTCCTCTTTTCCCGCCTCGAGCTCTACCGAATACCACGGCCCCGCAACTCCACGAGAGGAGCCTAACGGCAGGACCCCCACCAACAATCCGAGTACCACACATCGACTCTCCAGGGGGCACTCCGACCCTTCTGGCAACACCACGCCTCCCCTCCAGAGGCCGCGTCGGACCGCGCGGGCTCTCGGAGCACCCTGCTCTGTATCTGGGTGCCTGCCCTTCCCACGATCCGCAAAATTCACCGCTACAAAGCTTAAAACCGCTAGGAAAGCCGCGTCGGACCAATCCCATCAGCACCACGCTTCCCGATCCAGGGACGCTCCGCCGGTCCGACCAGCAACAAGCTCCCCCCTCTGGAAGGGCCGCATCGGATCGCGCGGGCTATGGAAATACGCTTTGCCCCCAGCTTTCACAGCGGATTGCACTCCTGTTCACGTCACCATCTCTAAGTGGCGGGCACACGTTGCTAGATTGCAGACGTGTTGGGTACGTCACAAGGCAGTTTCGCGTGGGCCCGCAGGGCCAGATTTGCATCCCGAGCCAGCTCTTCACGGCCCCGGGGGCCTCCTCCCCCTCCTCCCTCCACTCCCTCAACGTCGGGCAGGGCGGGATACAAATCCGCCGACCCGGCGAGTGAGCTTCAAAGAGCTTGAGCTGCACCCGTACAGCCTGAGCTTCAGCTCTACTGGGGGGGGGGGGGGGCCAGGGTGGCTCTGCCAGGGGGCACGCCCGTGCTCCGCTTTCTGGGCGGGGCTGGGACACGCATAAATCGGCCAAATTCCCACTCCAGGGGCCAGAGAGCCTAAGATGGCCGCCAGATATTTCCCAGACGGCTCAAGATGCACCTAAAATGGCCCAGGATGCCTGCCCAAAAAGGCCCGCAGAGGCCAAACATACTGATTTTCTAAATGCTTTTGAAGGGTTCAGGCGCTTCATTATTTTCGGCCTTCCGACGGCCCCAGAGGCCCCCAAGATCGCCTCAGCGGCCTCCAAGATGGCCCTATGACGGCACATGA